TTGGCGGGCCGAAGATTCATTAGGCTTGAGGCCTACTCCTTCTGTGATGGATTTGAGGCCGTAAACCTCAAACCCGATATTTTGTCTGTGATGGATTTGGGCCTTCAGGTTTGGAGTTCTGGCTTCGCAGCTTGAGGCTGGGGATTTGTCGGTTAGACTATGGGATCGGCTCTGGGTTTGTGTATAGGGCCACGCAGTCAGGGCACTGTCAGTTAGTTTAGGTTCTACAAAGGAATCTCTCAGGGCTAGTTGAGGTTTTGTAGGGCGATATTGCGGATATCGCCACACCATCTGCCACTTGCCACATGCTTGTTGTGGCTTTGGATCATGTGGCTATAGGACAGTGTGAGGCAATGAGTGGCCGAAATATACGCAAAGTCCCAGAATCATCTGAAATCTCTGAAAGGGAATGCCTATATGACAACCCTTGACTTTGAACTCCGAACGCTGCGTTTGCCAAGTGTTCAAACATCTACATTAGGGTTGAAAAGTTCGGCAGGGGTGTTGTGTGTCTGCCAAAGCTACCAAGGGTTTACAAGTTTAGGGTTTGAGGGTTGCTGTAGGGTTTCAGAGTGGCGTTTCGGGAATTTCGGGTTTAGGGGCTTGGGGTTTAGGGCGAAGAGGTTTCGGGTTGAAGGCTTTCCGTCGAGTTTCTGCAGCAAGAGCTTAAGTGCTCGCCCAACACAATGGCTACGGCTGCCACTGCCACAGACGCCATGACCTTGGATCAAAATTCCAGCTATCCGATCATACAGTAGCGTCCAAGAACCCTCGTGTCTTTTAGCCGGAATCCTCCAGACTACCATACTGGTCGAGGGATGGGAGGGTTTTGGGTACGGTCCTCACCATACCATACCATACATTCTAGTACCATGCCAGATGAACTGCGAATCTTCCTTTGTACACCAAAGGTCTTGATGCATGTGCTATGCAATCTTGTGTAGGAGGGCTCGGATTTAACCCTTGGGTTTTAACATATTCACATAGGGGCGCGTAAAATTCGAGAAGGGCTGCAAGGGTACACTATTGCTAATCATTCCGATTCCACGGGCATGTGTCGGTCAGGAAACCGAATCAAGCGAGCCATTGGCCCGACTTCTCTACGAATGTAGTATATAACACTTATATCAGCCTTGTAGAACCCTTGCAGATTCGTCTTGAGTTAGACTCTCAAACCTCAGACCAATACCTTAACACGAAACCTAAAACCCTAACCCAGACTGCTCCACCAGGCAGCTGCTGTTGATGCCGCATTTCGATCCTTAGCTTAAAACTTGTCGTCAGCTGGCCAGTCAGGGACCGTAAACCCCCAATCTTTGAATGCAGGATTGAGGATTTCAGGCTTCAAGTTTAGGATTTTGGATGTTGGGTTGAGGGTTTCGGGTTGGGGTTTTGGGTTTGGCGTTGAGCGTTTTGGTTTAGGTAGGGGGTTTACTGACTTGTGTGATTTTTTCTCGGAATGACAGATTGGACTAGCTGGCGCTCCATGGATACGAACCGGTGTCGAAACAGTGAGATTAATTAGTTCGAAGGCTTGGACCTCGTCTAGTCTGCATCGCTTCAGGAAGTCGTCCCGCATGGTCCTTGCCTGGGGTGCCGAAACCTCCATGCTGCCTCAGAAATGCTTTAGCACTAAGCCCGTTGCAATGCTCGCGTAGCCGTCACCATCATTTCCTTGCTCTGGTGCCTGGGACCCCATTGATTAATGACTTCCCCACGTCACGGTAATCATACGTATTATGGATCCTAAACCCAACCGTAAACCCCAAACCCAACGATCACTACTATGAATCTTATTGAGGGGCGGGGTCTTTTCAATCACCGGCACCCTAAACCCTACGGTGCATCTACAGGGCCCTTCTGGAACTATAGAACCTTGCAGAACCCTTGTAAGACTCTTAGTGAACCCTGGGGCGGCCCCTTCCCCAGGAGCACGCGTGACTTTTTGCAACTCTCCTGCTGGCTGGTCTCCGGTCTTAACCCACATGCTCCGAGGTCTCTTCCGCCTGAAATATGGGAGCCTGAATACTTGGAATAGGATTTGATGGCATATTACTCTGTAAGGAACCCGAAGATACTGCTAGAATTAGTCTGACCCCGGTACTATAGTGGTTTATTGTGGTTTTGGGCGTAGGGGCTTCTTGAACCAGGCATACTTTTGTTGTGCTTAGGGCTTGGGAGGGCTCTATCAACTGGTCAGCAAGCTACTACAAAATGCTGAAGGCTCCCTCGGTCTAGGGCTAAGGTCTGGGAGGTAGGGTTCTCGGAGCGTTCGGGGCTTGGGGTTTAAGGGTTGGGAGTTTAAGGATATCGGATTTAGGGTTCAGGGATTCACGGCAGAATGAGACTGCTTGACAATCATGCAGATGATGCTGAAAACAACTCAATCAACACTTATATCAACAAAACAAACTCACAGAGACATCTACTCACATAACCACAGGCATGATCACAAAGGCATGATAATGAGAATGCCAATCCTAGTCGAGATCATTTCCGCCGTCCTCATGAGCTCCGCAAAAAAGCCCTCCGACCGGCGACCTGAGGCCCTGAAAACTGAACCATAAGGAAAAAGCTATCGAAGCCCTGAACCTTAAACTTACACTTTTGAAACGCAACAGCGCAAGATAACAACGACCCCAGCCCTGAGGCTGCAAAGAACAGACTATTTACATCCCCGAAATCTTGAAGCGCAAACTAGCTAGACTCAGCTCGACCGTGAGCCTTCAGACTAAGACTGTCTAGACCCCGAGCCCGAATACGAACACCATCTAGGCCCGATTTCCTACAAGCTTTCTGGGTATTGAAGTTTTAGGCGTGCGGACGATCGCCCTCGAGGAAGTTCGCCTCAGAGATGGGTTCCGGGTCCGTGCACACGAAATCCTGCACTCCGCCCCTCCCAGAGACTCCACCACCCCTTAGTCGACGAATGCAATTTAGGGGCTTTGCTGATAAGAATAGCATAGATGCCCAAAATCCCCATGTGGAGGCGCTCATTTTACCTTACACTGAGATCTTTTGCAGAACAGGGAGTCTCTGGACCAGACTCTCAAAACCAGCCCCCCGCTCTGTCGAAACGAACCTTCTGCAAAAAGAGTTTTTAGGGTTTAGGATGCGATGCTGAGGGCACAGGGTTTAGGGTCGAGGGTTTGGGCATGCCTTCTCCTTCAAGCCTCAAAACCCTAGAGATAAAGGGGAGCCAACACTCTCCACAAAAAAACCTGGGAATCGAAGCTGCAGCCATCCTTGCAACGTGAAGGTCGAAGGGATCTCACTTTTGCCCAGCGGCACCACAATCCCCAAAAAAACACCCAAATATGCACTCAACAAGCTGTAAACGAGTCCTATATACACTCAGCACAATTTCTGAGATAAACCTACTTCATGTTAACCTATGCTTGGTGCCACCATTCGCGCCATCTCAACAGAAAGGCTTCTCATCAGATCGGGGTTTAGTGCTCTGGGGTTATGTTTTACGGTGTAGGGAGGCCTTCATATGTGCAAAGAATATAAGATTCACACGCACGAGTTCGGATGAGAAAACACAAACATTACTGCATCGTGGTGCAAGATCGAGGTCCTACTGAGCTTGAAGATTTCAGTCAGATAGGCCTGCAGCTTCGACGATGTTCCAGCCACAGCGTCAGCTGGAAATGGTTGTCTTGACACCTCACCCGACACAAGAACCAAAGAGTGCCGCTGCGATCCAGAATGCCTTCGGCATTTGTGGGATTCAGCCAGCGCCCACATCAATAAAAGTATGGGGCCGGGTGTGCGGCAGCTCAGAACCTACCCCAGGGATCCCACAACAGCCCCTCTGCAGACGAAACACCTTTGGGCCTCTCAGGCTTGCTGCAACACACCCTGTGCCCCTAACTAAACAAGGCTTCAAAGCTAGCGGACGATGGAACAGGCACTGCTGTCCATGTCCCTTGGGACCACATGAGGATCAGGTGGCATCATAGGTCGAAGTAGGACGATAAGTTCGGAGCCGGATCTAGGGCTTGGGGTTTAGGAACCAACCCTACTAATGTTACGTAGACCTGCTTAAGCTACTTAAAACCTTACTTCTGGCCTGTGTACTGAACCGCATGAGTCTTCGCCCTAACCCTCCCCCCAAGAAGACTCGGGACTTCTTCTTCGCGGAGTCTGAAAGGAAGCTGCACATTGCCTTATAATCCTAATACAATTCTAATGAACCCTAAACCAAACCCAAGGACATCCCCGAAATAAGTTCCACTCAAAGTCCTAATCTCATCTTATTAAACGCTAAACCAAACCCCAAACTGACAACAAACTCAGTCCCTTGATGCCCAAGAATTGTGCAGTGGTTGGGCTTAGGGTGTAGGGTGTTTTATTCTACGGAGTTACTATAAGGGATCCTTTAAGGGATCTATCGGGGTGCTTGGGGTTTAGGACTGAATGCTAAGGACGTTGTTGCTGTTCAGGGATTGGCTGAGGCAAAAGAGTTGGATGTAGCTCTTCAAACCTTAAGTTTAGAATTTGCACTACACTTCTGCTGCCGTGTAAGGCGGAATCCCTAGATTGTTTTTGTGATTAAACTCTCCTGTATGATGCTTTTCGTATGCCCTCAGAGCCCTATAGCCCTTAATGCCGGAGTTTGTATGCCGTGTACCTTGGTTTAGAAGGGCCTTGTGGGTGGATAGTCCCCGAACCACTGCATACAAGGACTCTAGGAGAAGTCTAAACAATGTACACAGCCTTTGGGGTGGAGAGTATAACTAGTACTAGTATATCTAGAGAGTAGTGAATCTTAAGGCTTCTAACATTGAAATATACCCTAAGAATTAAATAAATTCATGGCTTGGCTGAGGACGTGCCTTGTCTCTGGATCCTCCCACACGGGTCATCGAACTACGGATCATAAGTTGCTGCTTCGCATGCTGTCAATGCATGCTGTCTTCTTAAAGGTAGCATGCGCCCCGTTCTTGGCACGCTCGGAGACTGTACATCACAGCGCTTGTGCTGAAGTTCTTCGTTTAGACATCACCCATACTGTAGCTCTTGCGGCAAGTTGGGCAACATCTGCCTGATGCAGCAGAGGACACCGACCAACATGCAAGACACTCCTCGTGGAAAACATGGCCACAAGGTAGCAGTGCTATCCTGGGTTCATGCTAAGAGTAAGAACGAAAGAAAGAATAAAAGCTTAACGTATTCGCATACCCGAAAAAAGAATACAAGCTTAACGTATTCGCATACTCGAAACATCCGAAACCATATAAAGGCAAAAAGACACCCTAAATTTGAACTCGCAGCCGGTTGTTTGGCTGGTAATCCTCCAGGCAGCAGATGCATGTCTTGTCTGTAGCAGGGTCCGAGGCCCCCAGCCGTGTAATAACGGCACCTGCCTCCCACTCGATCTTCTCAGCCTGTCTGACCTGGGTTTTTTTAATTCTAATAACAGCCATATGAAACTACAAGGGTTTGAAGACTATTGTTTCGGGTCTCAGGGCTTGAGGGCTTTACGGCTTCAGGTCCCACTTGGGTTCCTCTTAGCAGGTTTAACTTAAGCTAGCATAGTAACAAAAGCACACTATCTACTACATAGTCCCGTTCTGGTCACTTCACGTTGAAGTTACTCAAAGTCCTCAAGACCCTGATATGCTATTAATTACAAGACCCTTACTGTCAAATCGAATTTTGCTGTTTAGCAAGAGCACAGAACGATCAGTAGCAAATCCTATAAGACCCAAAATTCCTGCACCACAATCCCAAGGAGACCCTGTACAACCAAAACTTGTGAACCCAAAAAAGACTACTCCAAAAGCCTTCCTTAAAGCGGACCCAGGTCACGCAGACCTGCCGGAACTCGGGTGTAACAGACCCAATGCTGCCGAAGCGAAGAGATGCCCAAACGCAGACGCACTCTCCACTCTCCTGAGGCTTGGGATACACGGCTTTGTGCTTAAGCGCTAGAAGTTAAAGAAGACTGATGAACCCCTCAACCCTATCCGCGACTCAACCCCAAACCCTCAACCCTAGACCCCAACCCCCAACCGTAAACCCTAAACCTTGAACCCTAAACCCCAAACCCTAAACCCCAAACCGTAAACCCTCAAATTCAAAGCCCCAAGTGGTCTGCGAGGCTCGGCCTTTTCCAAGGCCTCCTCGACCTCCTGACTCTCCCCTCGGAAACTCGCAAGGCAGGCCACCACCCCAAGGAGGATCCTCAGGGATCTGACTTTCAGGTTAGAGTTCAGGGTCTAGGGGCCCATAACAGGACCAAGAAGAGTTTTAAAAAGCAGAGCATGTATAAACAGCAACAAACAAACGGCTACTGAAAGTACAAGAAAAGGGAAAGCAAGTTAGTCTTGCTTTCTTCTTTAAGCTTAGACTTGAGTTACTCTTTACGAAAAGCTCCCAAAGAGAGGCCCAGGATCAGGCCCAGTGAGAGCGCTGCAGGGAAAGTCCATGCCTGCGGTCTGCCTCCGAGAGGATGGTTTAAGGTGTAGGGTTTAGGGATGGCTTAAAACCATTACACCCTCCCAGGAAACCCTTAAAGGAACCTTATGGATCCCTTATAATGGAAGCACCCGATATAAACTTTTAGGGGTTTGGGGTTTCGGGATATAGCGGCTTAGGGTGTACCGCTTAGGGTTCGGTGTTCAATGTTTGAATCTCGATCTTCGGGCTTGATTGAGGGTTGAGGATTCTGTTTTCGAGTTTTGCGTTGTGACCGAGACAAAACCTTGGGACAGAGGGTTTCAGGAATTCCTTACAGGCGCCGAATCCTTCAAAATGCATGGGCTCTTCTGTAACGAGGACTTCTGGTGCTATGGTGTTTTCGGAACAGAGGGTTTCGGTTTTCCGGGTTCGGCCAGGCTAGGATATAACCTAGGATAGAACTACAACACGAACCAGGGCCACCATCGGTGTCATCCGGGACACTGTCACCATCACCATGAGAACAGTTTCGAACGGAGGCTACTGACACATCTGTGCAGTTGGACAAGTGCCAGGGTTTCGTGCTTCAGCAGCGAACTAGAACAAAAGAAATGATGATGGTGTGTGCAATGGCAGTGAAACAGCCTATCTTCCAGTCTGACACGAGTATACTGACGGGATACTGCCTTTAACAAGCGTCATTGCTAAAGACCCAGACCCTAACCGTGACACCAGCCTCCTAGGAATACGTAGACGATCACAGATGCGGAGCCGGAAGCTGTAACCAAAAAGGACAGCAAGCGGATCAGGTGAACGCAGGGAGCCCTCCAGACCGCGCGGATATTTTGGATCATGGGCATGTGATGGGCGCGCGGAGCTTTCCGAGCAAAGTGCTGCACCGTGGGCACTATGGCTTATGGCTTAAGCAATGCCCTACCCTTAAGTCTCACAGCTGAAGGTCTTGATTCGAGGCTTCTTGCCGATTCTATCAAAGAACACTTCAGCTACAACTACGTATCATGTACTATCCCAACTAATGCACAAGTATGACGTAGGCATGCTTCATGTACGACACTGCACTGCACCCTCTTCTGTGAGAGCCCATGGCAGCCGAAAGTCGCGTCGCGCCACCACACTCAAGTCTTCTTTTTTGATCTACAATCAAAGTCTAGGGTTTAGGGTTTTGGGGTTGAGGGGTGTAGGGGTGTAGCGGTTTTGGGGTTTAGGGGTTTTGGGGTTTAGGGTTTTAAGCTTCAGCTTGCAACCTACAGGGATTTGGGAGTTCGAAGGTTTGGGGGCTTTGAGGCTTCAGGGCAGGGCCTTCAGGTTTTCGGAGTTCGGGGCTTTGAACGGCTTCCGGGTTCTTGTTGAGGAATTAGTTCCAGTTACCACAAAAAGGAATCCAAGACCCCAGGATTTGGGATTTCGAGTGTAGGGGCACGGGTTTCTCGGCTGAAGATCAGATTCATATCAGGGCCCACTGTCTTGAATGCCTGTTGTGAAGACAAGTTTCTGCAGGGCCCGTTCACGACCACCACGGGAGTGGCTCCTGCAAAGCCACGGCAGTGACAAGGTGCTTAGTTCGGGCTTCAGGCTTTGGGGCATGAGGGCTAAGGATTTAGGACTTAGGGCGCTGAGGGTTGACAGTTTAGGGTTCCGAGTTGGCCATCCGGTCGAGTTTGAGGAGCACCTTTAGAGTTTGATGTTCCGCGTTTGGGGGTTTGCACTATGGGTTCGGTATTCAGGGTGAAGTTCAGGGTTTGAGGATTTAGGGCTCTTGGATTTACGATGTAAAACTTGGGCTTTAGGGCTCATTGGAATACAATCAATAGACCGCAAGCTTAGAAAGGCAGATTTTCCACACAGGAATGGATATAACCTCTGAACTCTGCCGCATGAAAAAGCTCTGGGGTTAGTAATAAGCTTCCCGAGTTGATAAGCTTTGGGGTGCAATGGTCATAATTTGACAAGGTTTAGGGTTTTAGAATTTAGAGTACAATAGGAGCTACATCCCCACATGAAGCTCGTTCCACGGATCCGAACCAAGGCAACCAAGGTGCCCATGGTTGTAGCATGCACGCCATGGAGCCCAAACTCCTGTTTTTTAGGGACGGAGAGGCGGATGCATGCGGGGTTTCGTGCTAAGGGGAGTAGAATAATGTGAGGTACCGAAATATACTGCAATATGCGAAGACATACTAACATACTGTACAATATATTCCCCTATTATATGTTACTACTGCTACTACTACTACTACTACTACTACTACTACTACTGCTACTACTACTACTGCTTCACGACTACTACGACTACTACTACATACGATGAACTATAAGATAGTCGGGGATTGGAAGTCTGGGGTCTGAGGATCAGCGTTTTGGATAGTGGATTTGGGATTTGGGATTTTGGGATTGGGATTTATGGTATGGCTTCGGGCATGTGATGGCATGGATTGGGGCATGTGAACAGGTACTGCCTCAGCTTCATGAAAGAGTTGTTGTATGTTGCACTACCGCACCTTCTGCATTGCTAAGCCGAAACTGCATTTCAGAGTTCATGCGCCACATGTCCAATGTTCGAAGCCAGGAACTAACTTGTCATATCCGGAAAAGGGATGTATTGAGATTCGCCGCTTTCCACACCAGACTGCTGGCGAGCAAGAATGTTCATCTTCCCACTATTCATGCTCTATATATGACCAGATGTTTGTATATAGGTACGTTCACACGTATGTACGTACCGAAATATGTAAGTATGCATGTATGCAGTCAGCTGTTTACGCTGCAGTTCGAATCTGCGTTCAAACAGATGCTACAAAAACCGTAAGCAGGCACACGTGATCGTACATCATGAACATACCTACATACATACATACATACATACATGCATACATATATGCTTATTTACTTAACACATGCATACATACCTACCCACACACGTACCTACCTACCTACCTACCTACATACATACATCGGTACGTACGTACACATGCATATGACGGAAACAATTACGTGGACAGGCGGACGGATGGATACATAGAATGTTTGCAGAAATTGTAGGATGTAGATAAAAGTTGGATAGATGGCTAAACTAGAGGTAGACAGACACTAAACAGCAAGAAGGTAGATCACAAATTGACAGATGAAATTGTATACCTCTCAGAAACTTGTGTCCGAGTAAACAAAACTCCTCGTGCACACAGACGAACACGGCTGCTGCAATTCTACACACAACAAGCTATTTCCCAGAAGTTCCCGACCAAAGGCCTAATTTGTTGAGACCAGGTGCTGAATGCGTCTCAGACCTGCGATCTCACATGCGAGGTGTCCTAAGCTTTGACACCCACTGATCTTCGGCCACACTGTGCTCCTTCCGAAGGACACCCCTTGTTGCAGCCAGCACCAGCCGAAACATCTCTGGGGTACATCCTGCCATTACCTTGGTTCTTGGCACAAGCGACATCGATCCCACACCAATTTCTACATAAAGTCAGCCACTAACGATTTTGCCGCATCTGCTACGGTTTTGCCTCAGCAGGAGAAGCAGGCAATGCTGTCGATGATGGTGAGGGTGATGGAGCATGAGAAAGAAGAAGGGTGCGAGTCTTGATGCTGACGAAGATACGGACATGGATAGTAAGCGGTGGTGGTGGTGGTTGTGGTGGCGGCGGTGCGTGTCTGGGCGTGTGGGTGGGTACGGAGACAGTCATGACAGTAATGACCAGGATAGCAACATGAACAAGAACTGGAAGACAAACAACGATCACGCTTTCGGCAGTGATGTGCAGTGTCGCCATGACCGTGTCTCAAGAGGTTGGTGACACGGTGGACAACTGGAGTATTGACTAGTACGTGATGACTGATGACATGACGATGACGATGACACTACGACTGGCAAAGAGGTGTTGATAGCAACGAGAAGCGTATTGGAGTACTAGAGCGCAACTCAGCGCACCGAGCCACGTTCTAAATGTCGCTACGTATACCACGAAGATAGACAAACACTAACAAAAAGAGACGTACAAACTTCAAGCTCACTGACACGGTTCGTCAGCAACACACAAGAGCCATAGCATGAAACCGCACAGAGCTACGTTGGACATAGGGCTTTGCGCTTAAGTAGGCCTTCCTTCTGTGAATCCTAGACATCTTAGACATAAATGCTCCTACCACTTGCGAAGTGGGTCTCTCATTCTCCGAAACTCCCAGGGAAGCCTGTGGGGGCCCACTGGCAGCAGGATCGCTTTCTCCGAGATGCCGCAGCGATGGCAAGCTTCTCCACAGTAACCTGGGGGAATCAATTGAGCAGTGCTCCAAAGGAGATCCCATTACCAAAAGGATCAAGCAAGACAGCAAGAGAGTTTCAAGTAGAGTTGCACGTCCACTACCAGGGCCATGCTGCGGCAGGCCGGTACTTATAACCTCCTAAAGAAGTCTCCTCATCCTTGAAGCATGTGCAATCCGCTTGGGTTTTCGATCGCTCTGAATCGCGGAGCACAAACCACGGCTCATCAGGAGTGTTGCACCACTGCCCGTAGGACTCATATTACGAAAAAAACAGATCAAGGCTGCAGTGAATCGGCCCATGCCTCAGTCTGCGAATTACTACAGGTGCTAAAATCACAGAAACTGCCATCAGCAAGAACCCTTAGATCAAGTGCTCCGCACGCCTCCAAATGATTGTAGATATCAGGAGAAGGCGAACAGCCCAAACTTGCACGAAGATGCCAGTGAGATTGCTGATGTTTGCAATACTGCCTGCACGAGTCCCTCCGGCCTGGCGCATGACATCGTCATGCTCGTAGTTGTCATCACTCATCCTTATGATCAAGCCTCCGCAATCTTAGCCATCCTATCCCGAACCACCATACAGAATACCCATCACTATCATCAGCAACAACAACATCATCAACATCATCATCGTAGCGTCATCAACCATCTTGATTACCATCATCGCCAGCATCAGGACCATGAGAAGTACGATGTGCTGGTAATCTCCAGCTGTTGCCCTTGCGAAGGCTGCTGCTTCTGTGGTGTTGTGGCAAGGGGCGTCAGCATAGGACGGTGGACACGCTCCCAGAATGTGGAGCCTCCGGACTCGCAGCGGCCAAGACTTAAAGAGGCTGAAACCCAACCCCAGTGTCTCTAAGGTTCCGAGTCAACGAAACCCGATCAGCAACACCCGCAACCCTTTTCGCGTTTTCCTAAGCAAATCAGCCTGTGTTTCTCCGAACTCTTTCTTGGGGTGATGACTCCACACCTCCAGCGAAGGCTTTTTGACTTCACCTCTACGCCTTAAACGCACTCCCCCACAGAAGCCCCAAAGCCCTGCACTGATGAGAAGATGGCACTTGTGTGGCAAGACCAGCAAATTTCTGCACAAAGCATATGACATGAAGTAGACCTGCCTCAGGGATTGTGGTGAATGTAGATAAGGATCCTTCACATCTTGGTGAGTGTATATCCGGGTTCTATTTTGGGCCCGTCATATGAGTATGGTAAAGCCGGAATGAGTTGAGACTTGCTTCCTGCCAAGTCGTATGTAGCAGCAGGTGAAGTATATTGAAGCAGCCTCGGCATCCCAATACCGTCCACTGATGCAGGAAGCAGGAAGCAAAGCTTCGCTGTTGCGCAACAGGTTTCTGTCAACACCTTTGCCTTTACCTTCCACTGTCCGCACTTTGTTGAGAATTCAGTCCTTGTTACTGCATTCCGTTCTCCCTCTGTCGCGACGCTTCTTGCTCTTGAGTTTGGCCCTGCCCATCTGTGGTATTGTCTGATCTAGCTTGATGCTTCTGTTCTCGACTACCATTGACAGAGCTGTGAACAAGACGGCTCTTCATATTACCAGGCTTCATCT